GAGAAAGAAGGGCGCTTTAAATAGCGCGTTGAAAGAAAGCCGATTCAACTTAAGGTAAGGGTTAGGTTTAGGGTTAGGGTTAGGGGTTAAGTTTAGGTTTAGGGTTTACAGCGTGCTTCTGTCTCCGCACTGTTGTCGCCCTGTTGATGACGTCAGCGACGCGGTTTAGTCGGGCACGGTTTTGTCATTCGCCCTTTGGTCAGTGAATCGTAAAACTCAAGGCCCAGGGGCTGCATCCAGCCTGTGGGGTACCAAGCTCTGTTTTCATGGCAAAGGGTTGCAGGAGGTTGTGGCAGCCGAAAATGGAGATTGGGAGCCTGCTTCTTCTGGCAGAGCACTTGGGTCACCACAGGCACCTCTGACATGAGTGACATCAAGCTGGCCACGCCCCCCCGAGGTCAAAAACAACCCTCAATGAAATCAAGTTTGACACCCATGATAGAGAATACAACATTATAAAAATAGGTATTTTTAAAATCTTGTATTTGTGAGAATCTGCTTAACTATGTGATGCCACTGCAATCTCCTGTACTCAGCTGATATAGGCAGGATTGGTCAGGAGATCACTAAAAAGAAGCAAGGTTGTAGGCTAGATTGCAAACATTAAAAACCTATCCAAGAAAACAACCAATGGGAACCAAATTATGTTCAGTTGCCAAGAAAATTGCATTAATGTAGCTATGAACTTGCCAGTGGAATTTGATTTGAAGTAACTTTTCCTCTTAACAAGAATGATGTTGCCTATATTTTATCCAGCAAGAAGAAAAGATCTCTAAACAAAGTAATGTACCATAAATGTTCTAATGACTGAATCCATCTCTTTCCCTATCTTTCATACTGAGCATGTGGGACTGATGATGAAACAATCAAAGTAGGTTTCCTAAACTACAGGTAGTCCTCAACTTACAACCATTTGTTAGTGACCATTTAAAGTTACTAAAAAAAGTGACTTATGACCGTTCTACACACTCACGACCACTATAGTATACCTGTAGTTAGAGGACCAAAATTCAAGCACATGACAATTGGTTCATATTTTTGTTATAAGAGCCGAGGTGGCGCAGTGGTTAGGGTGCAGCACTGCAGGCCACTTCAGCTGACTGTTATCTGCAGTTCTAATCTCACCGGCTCAAGGTTGACTCAGCCTTCCATCCTNGTTATTATTTATTTATTTGTTTGTTTGTTTGTTTGTTTAATATATATTCTGTCCATTTCACCAGAGGTGAAAAATTCAATGATTTTTTTTTCTACTGATGTTTGATTTGTGTCAATAGAATAGCTACCCTTTCTCTGTTCTGGAGGTTTGAAGATCCTTCAGAATGGATTTCAGAAAGTATGAGGGGAGAGTTACAAAGAGATCAGAGAAGAAATCATATTGTGAGCTTACATCGTATTGGAAAAAAAACTTAACTAAAAAGCTAAGTTTGCAAAACTGTATCTCAGTTTAAAAAGCAGATAAAGTTAAGATCAGTAGGAGATAAAAGCGTTTTTTTTTGTGCCAGTCAATAGCTAGAGAACAGCTAGACTTCTGTAAAACAATATTCAAATATATAGAATTGGCAGTGAAATCTCAGAGCAATCTTTGGAATGTCACTGTGTGCCGTATCAGCAGTCACTAATAATCATGCCTCATAGCCTGAGCAATACTTTAAAAGTGTTAGAACTGTTCACATGCAGAGAAAGCTATTGCATGAGCCTTGAAAGACAGAACTGCAATATACCTCAGTGTATCTGTTCCCCTACTCAAAGCTAACTTGAATAAACTGTCACATAAAACATAAAACAACAGGTAGAAGTAGTTTTACTGTGAACAGGTAGTTCACACAGGAGTATTTCATTTCCTTATGATACTGGAGAATCTCATTTTAATATGTACAGTATGTTGATGAGTGTAGGACTGAAACATTGGACCAAAACATTAACTATAGCAATTCCAAACCAATTCAAATGTTCAAAAATTTTGTATCGTTCATTTCCTATTCTATACACTCACACACACACAATTACCTGTAACTTCACATTAATTTTTGTAATTGTCCTTGGGATCGCCAAATATTTTCTTGATAGTACCTATAGAACAGGTGTGTCAAACTCCGTGACCCGACAAAAGGGCGAACGAAAAAACCGCGCCCGACTAAACCGCGTTGCTGATGTCATCAACGCGGCGACAACA